TTTTATTCAAACCGTAGAAGTAGACTTAGAGAGTATTTTAAAAAATGTGATGAATTTGGCCTTAGAGAAAGAAAGGTTCCTAAACCTTGTCCAACTAGATGGAATTATATGTACGAAAGTTTAGTAGTTGCATATGAATATAGAAACCCAATTAATGCAACGTTTAATGCTCGTGTTGGTGGTGAGGATGATGATGAAATCCTTACAAATCAAGATTGGACGAATGTAAAAATTCTTATAGATTTTTTAGAACATTTTCAAATTGCTACAAATGCATTTTCTGGACAATATTATCCTACTATTTCAAATTGTTTAGTTTATATTGCAGCACTATGTGATTTGTTGTTGAATTTCCGGAGGTGGGGAAATTTATAAACTTGCTATAAATGCAATGAAAGAAAAGTTTAAAAAATATTTTTTCCCTATCCCCCCTATTTATGGTGTTGCTGCAATGTTAAATCCTACAATGAAATTAGGAGGTCCTCACTTTTGGTACTCAAATATTTATAAGGCTTTAGATCTTTCAGTTGAGGAATTTTCTACACTTGCAGAGGCAAAAGCCTCAATTAAAATAAATGCTCAAACAATTTATAATGCTTATCAACTTGCGTTAGATAATGCTAGGCCAAATGTTCCAACCCCTACTTCGTCTAGTTCACAATCATCTAAAAGAGCTGCGGGCCTAAAAGCACTTAAATCTTGGACGGAGTTTAGGGGTTCTCAAGGTGATAATTTTGATGGGACTTCACATCTAAATGAGCTTCAAGTTTATTTGTCGCAGGGACTTGAAAAGGAGAATCCAGACGGCACCTTTGATCTTTTGGAATGGTGGAAGGCAAGGGAAAAACATTTTCCGGTTCTTGCAAGGATGGCTCGGGATATTTTATCTATTCAAGCTTCAACAGTTGCATCAGAGAGCGCTTTCAGTCAAGCAAGACTTCAAATAGGTGATGAACAAGCTTCTTTTCCGCCACCACCAACGGAACCTCCTCCGAACCTTGAAGGATTTATGAGATTTGTTAGAGATACAATGTAGGTTATGGTGTAACTTGTACTTTGGCATATCTTCTTTAGTTTTTTTTCCTTTTAATGGTGGTATTAGTACCTTGTTGTGCTCATTCCATTGGGGGGAAGAAGACTAAGAAAGATATGCCATTTTTGGTAATAAAAATTATAAGACATGCCCTTGAATATCTCTTTGCAATATTTTTTTGTCTTTAACTTGTAATTATTTATAAGCTATAATATATATACATAACATACAATATATACTACAAGAAAATATATAAGGGAATATATATACTTAACATACAATATATACTACAATAAAATATATAAGAGAATATATATACATAACATACAATATATACTACAAGAAAATATATAAGGGAATATATATACATAACATACAATATATACTACAAGAAAATATATAAGGGAATAAATATACATAACATACTATATATACTACAAGAAAATATATAAGGGAATATATATACATAACATACTATATATAGTATACTATACTAGTATACTATACTAGTATACTATATATATTATATTTACATGNTCTTGCAAGGATGGCTCGGGATATTTTATCTATTCAAGCTTCAACAGTTGCATCAGAGAGCGCTTTCAGTCAAGCAAGACTTCAAATAGGTGATCATAGAGCGTCTATGAGGGAGAGCTTGGAAAAATCAGCACTATTCAGAGATTGGATCCGCTCGGAAAGAAGAAACTTTGGACTTGCAGAATCACAACCGGAGATAGATGAAGCTTATGAAGAAATGATAGCGGAACTTGCGGAGGATGTTGCTTCTCCCGGAAGCGGTGATGAACAAGCTTCTTTTCCGCCACCACCAACGGAACCTCCTCCGAACCTTGAAGGATTTATGAGATTTGTTAGAGATACAATGTAGATTATGGTGTAACTTGTACTTTGGCATATCTTCTTTAGTTTTTTTTCCTTTTAATGGTGGTATTAGTACCTTGTTGTGCTCATTCCATTGGGGGAAGAAGACTAAGAAAGATATGCCATTTTTGGTAATAAAAATTATAAGACATGCCCTTGAATATCTCTTCGCAATATTTTTTTGTCATTAACTTGCAATTATTTATAAGCTATAATATATATACATAACATACAATATATACTACAACAAATTATATAAGGGAATATATATACATAACAAATTATATTTACATGAAGAAGTAGTACTATATATACTACAAAACAAGATTTTTCAAAATGAGGGCCCCACCCCCAATGACCACCAACAGTCATATTAATTGCACAAATAGCCGTTTTTTTTTTCAATTTACAAAAATAACGTTCTCTAACACTATAAGTACCCCCCCTCCCTCTTCTTCATTTCAATACTCAATACTCATTTATCAATCTAAATTTCTCTCAATCTCTCAATCTCTAATTTTCAAGACTTCAAGTCTCAATCTCAATTTTCAAGTTAAATCATGCCTCGTTCGGAAAGAGTGCGCTTATTTGTTTCGCAATACTATGAAGTGCTTGAAGAAAATGAAGAAGGCCAAATATTAAAGTGCAAGAACTGTGGAAGAGTCTTAAATTTTCGTTTAGGGTGTACCACAGGCATTTTAAGGAGGCATATAAAGTATTGTGTTGAGGGTATTTATCCGCAAATTCGTCTTTAAGATTTTTCAACAATTTGTGTTATTTTAAAATTATTAGACGTATATATGCTCATCTTGTACTCTGTTATTAATTTATTATGCATGCCAATTTAGTTTTACTATTGATTTGTTATTTTACATTTTCGTCAAACACTTTAGTAATTAGATTTCTATATTATATATACTACATATATTTATATAGCCATGCATAAGAGCAATTTATATATATACATACACATATGGTTTACAAGAAATTGTCTTAAATAAAAAAAATTAAAAAAAAAGCCCATTAGGCCCGCTAAGCCCACGAGCCCGGCCCATTTAGCCCAGGACCATATGGGCTTAGGCCCGTCACGGGCTGGTCCTACCCGTTGAGCCCACGAAGCCCGGGACCGCTAAGCCCAGGCCCGTTTAGCCCATTGAGGCCCGGGCCTGGCCCACCATTCAGCCTTACCTCCAAAAGAATAAAAAAATGAAGAATAAATAGAAAAGGAAAGAAGTAAAGAAAATAATGCCTTGTCTTTTCTCGTCCTAGGAATAATAGTATAATTAGTTCTAGAAACCAAACCTGCAAAACCAGAAAAAATATAAAAAAAGCACTTTGCAGTATGACCATATATGCATTTTTCACAAGATGTAAGTTGATATCTATAAAAGTATAGAAATACATAATACAACGTTGTATTTATATATCAGGAAACCTAAGACCTGACCCACAAAGCTATTTTCCCCACCCCCACCCCACCCACCCACACCAACCCTACAATAAAAAGAAAGAAAGTAAAGAAGAAGCAGAAGATATGGACTCTAGATAGGCTTTTTAACTGCAAAAAGATACAGTTCTTATTAGAGTTCATATATTTGAAAGCTTTTTCTCAAATATTTATATTTATTTGAGAAAAAAAAAAAGGAAATTAGTATAATGGGAAGGGGAAGGGTAGAACTGAAGAGAATAGAAAACAAGATAAACAGGCAAGTTACTTTTGCTAAGAGAAGAAATGGACTTCTGAAGAAAGCTTATGAACTTTCAGTTCTGTGTGATGCTGAAGTTGCTCTTATTATCTTCTCTAACCGCGGCAAGCTCTATGAATTCTGCAGCAGCTCAAGGTACGTATGTGTCCATATATTGTGGTGTTTTTTTTCTTTTCTTTAACTTTTTTTCTTGGTTTTAATTGGTGGGGAGTTCTTGGTGGGAGGTATGCCGATGCTCTATCGGAAATAGCCTCTGTATCCCAGGGTAGAGGTAAGGTCTGCCTAAAAATTACCCTCCCCAGATTTCACTAGCGGGATTATACTGGATTATTTATTTATTTATTTATTGGTTGGGTATAGATATGAGATCTGAGTTAGATTTTTTTTAACCTAGAGTAGTAGGACTAGTGGTTGCTGACTTATAAGGGTGCAAAACAATTTTGCCATTTGATCTGAAGATCTAACTTCTGCTTTTGTAAATTACAGATGTAACTAGATGAAGTAAATAAAGCTCTAGTCTTTAAGATTTGATGATACGTACAACTTTGGTTATGATTTGATGTTCCACCTCCATTTTCTCTTCGTTTAATTATCTACACTTTTTCTTCAACTAGTACAAAAGAAAAGCCTTATAATCTGGGTCTAAAGCTGCTGGAGCTTGGAAAAGAATTAATGTGGCTTGAGTATTTCTTCTGCAGACTTGAGATTTTCCTTTCAGTCTAAGCTTTAAATTAATCATAATCATATCTTTATAGCGCTTTTGCTTTTCCGGAAGAAATTCTCATTTTTACCTTAATTAGTATAGCAACTTATGATCGTCCAGTATAACAACCTTCCCTCCTTTTGTCAAATTGATATTCTTAATCTTGTCCATTGTATGATAAAATTATCTATCTGAATATTTTATTTCTAGAACACTCATAATGTGGATACTTTGGATCACAAATCCTCAATATTTACCCCCATATACTATTATTGGTCTCACAATCGTTCTATAAGACTTACATAACATGGTGAGAACGAAACATAGCATGAGAAATTATATTTTTTCATATAAATGAGGACTTTCAGAGAGGTACCAAAAGGTTTGGGCTTTACTTTTAATACTATGGTAAAATACACTTGTTGACCTCTTGTCTATGAGTAAATAAAGCATCCTTCTAGGCTTCTAGACGATGTTCCCAAATCTTGTAGAAGTATGACTATTTCATCTAAAAGTTTAAGGTATTAGAGAGTAAAGTTTTATGTACTTAATTTTAATATACCTTCTCATGTGCGGGGCTTGATTCTTTTTCATGACTAGAGCACATGGAAGTTCTTTTCTGATTAATAGTCGCTGTGAGACTTGAACTCAAAATCTCTGCCTTGTCTGATATCATTTAGAAGTGAAAGAGCACCACTTTTATTTACTTAATTATTATCTTAACATTGTCATTATTCTACAATTTGCCTTTTTTTCTAGTATATCCAAGACACTGGAGAGATATCACAGATGCAGTTACTCCAACCTTGAAGCTGGCCAATCTTCAACCGATTCTCAGGTTCATTCATCTCCCTTTGATTTGTAACTGACTTAGTAATTTACTATTTAGTTAAAAAAAAAAGGGAACAGTTTATCTTTACCTTCTCTTTCAAGTTTCATCGAATTAGATTCTTTGGATGAACTAGGTAAAATTAAACAGTAACAAATTATATACTCCTTTCGTTTCTTTTTACTAGTTTTCTAACACGCGCGTTGCACGTGTGTTTCATAGTATAAGTACAAACTTCTTAAAACAATATACATCATATTAGAATAAGTGTGTATGAGTTACACGAAATTAGAACGGAAAAAGTGCAAGCTCAAACTAAATACATAGCAATCAAATATTCAACTTAATAATTTTCTTATTTGTGATATTTCACGTTTCACCTTTTAAAGTTCGCATCATATTTAAAAGAAATTGTAACCTCAGCCTTTCCATAACTGCATACATATTAATAGGTTGTTATCAAATAAAAGTAATATTTTGTAGAAGCTGTGTAGAAATTGGATCAACATATACCTGCATTTAGATGGATATAATAGATCATTGTCAATTTCATGGCGTGCATCTCCAAAGAAGAAGTAAGTAGTTTATTTATTACAAAGATACAGGTTGGGATCCAGTCCAGTATAATTTGGTCAAGTATTGTTCAATGGCTACCTAAGATCGCACCACATCATCTGAGTAAAATCTGACGACTCCTATTTATTTGTATTATTATATAAAATAGAAAAGATATTCCATCATTGTCCTTTACTCTTTCCTACTCTCTCCTCTATTTCCTTCAATTCAAAGATTTCAAAATTGTCGCCAACATCTTCTTCCTTTAGAAACTGCTTCTCCATTACCAAGCAATTTGTTAACACTGATACTACAGATCAGGCCTAACAACAAAAGTTGAAGCTGCACGGCCCATTAACACAGACCCATTAGTGCATCAGTCCATCAGTCCACCAAGCCCAACAATTTTGTAGCTCTATTTTTAGTTGTATATTTCATATACACGTGTGTAATTGTATGTAGACTAAGTAGTAGAATAATATTACACAAGTCAGTTGAATGTTCTAGAGACTGACTGACCTTCTCTCTCTTCTCTCTCTACTTTAGAGACCTAAGGGTTTTCTTCAATCTCTTTTGTTCATCAATGGAATCTGGTGATGTTAACATGGTATCCGAGCAGGGATTCAGTTTCATCTCGGCCTAAGCTTCACTCTGATGTTACCCTTGACCGGAGTTTTCGTCTCTTACATTTGGTTCGGTGATTTGAGATTTTCGTCCGGAGCGTGATTTCCTCAAAGCAAAATTGGAGATTTCTTCGATTTTGTGCTGGAATCGACTCTCATGGTCATGTGTTGCTGAAATCCAAAGGTTATCGGCATTTTTTACTTCATGCGAGTTTCGTCCTAGGATTTTGCCTACTCAGAATTTACTTCTCTATTTCAGAAGGCCGGTGATATTCTTCTATCTACAAATTTACAACCTGATTCTCATCATGTTTAAGACATATTATGTGGTTTGCATGTCGTATGTGTAGACATTGTTATTCTCCTCAAGTTGATTCCACTTCGGTGATTGTATATGTGTGATTGTGTGGTTTCACTGAGCCTGCTGCTATAGGTAGCATTCACGATAATGTGGATAATACCACGACCTCCAACTCTGGAGGTTTTGTACCTTTCTCCCTAGATCCCTCTCATCCCCTGTATGTACACCCTTCGGACAACCCTAGTAGCCAATGGGTTTTGATACCTTTTAATGGCTCTGGCTTTGTTCTTTGGAGAAGTAGCATGTTTACTTCTTTGTCTGCCAAGAACAAACTAGGGATCCTAGATAGGAGAATAACTCAACCTAGTCCAGACTCACCTTATTACCCCTATTGGGAAAGATGTAGTGATATGGTCAAGTCTTGGATCATAAATTTTGTGTCTAGAGAAATTGCCACAAGTATAATGTGTTTTAAGACTGCCAAAGCGGTCGAGAAAGACATTGATGAGAAATTGGGGTAGTCTAATAGCTCAAAATATCTACAAATTTAGAGGGAGATAAGTACAACTGTCCAGGGTTCTTCATACATAACTAATTACTTCACTAAACTTAGAACACTTTGGGATGAGTTAAATTCTTCCTATGCGGGACCTGTTTGTTCATGTGGAGCTCTTCCCAAGTTCATAGAAGATCAACAGCTGTTTCAGTTCCTTAATGGGTTAAATGAATCCTATTTCACTGCCAAAAGCACCATCATGACAATGAGTCCCTTACCACCCATAAGTAAAGTCTCTTCTATCCTACAACAGGATGAGAGCCAAAGAGAAACACCACGTGCTCCTAGTTCTGGTGATTCTGCATCTTTTCTGGCTTCTTCTACTCATTTCAACAACAACAACAACAGGAACTTCACTCAGAGAGTCAACTTTGACTCCAAAAAAGAATGTCAATCCTGTGTCTTGCAAGTATTGCAAGAAGATTGGACATATTGTGGACAAATGCTATAGGCTGCATGGATTCCCTGCTGATTATAAATTCACTAAGAACAAGAAATATCAACTTTTTGTGTCCAGACTAAGATTCCATATGCCTCTCCTCCTTCTTGTTCTGTTGCTTCCTCTAATAAATTAGCTCATGGTTTCACCAAGAGGCAATATAAACATATTTTGTATCTGTTTCAACAAGTTCAGCTCTCTACTGGGATGTATCCTGTTGTTCCTCCAGCGAAGACTCTGTATTTGCTCACTTTGCAGGTTTTTTCAATGCTTATGCAACTGATTCGCCTGTTTCTCATGCATGTGCATCTTCACATCTAGGTGTACAACCTTGGATTTTGGATTCAGGAGCCACTAACCACATGACTTCACATAAACATTTACTTCAAAACCTTACATATTTACCTAAATCATTCCTTGTTACTTTACCTAATGGTTATAAAGTAAAAGTTATATCAGCTGGGTCTTTAAACCTTAGACATGATATTAGTCAATGTTCTTCTTCTTCCTTCTTTCCACTTCAAATTAATTTCCATTCATTTACACAGTTGGATTTCATAGCAGTACTTACCAAAACCAATTGTCTTTACAGGGCCCTTCTCTGAAGGGGCCACTGGTAATTGGTAAGGTTGGTGGGAGATTATACTATCTACATCTAGATGCTGAACTATTTCCATCTTCATTTAGTACTTCTATGGTTCAATTTAGTTCAATTCCTAGTAATAAATCAAGTTCATTTACTTCTTGCTTCAATCAATTATCTTTTGTTGCTATTGACTCTGCTTGTAATCAGACATCCATCATTAATAAAATGGACTTGTTTTGGCATCATATAATGAAGTCTATTTCTTATTTATCTGATAAAGTTTCTTCTAAACAATCTTTTCTTTACCCAATGGCTAGACAAGAAAGGTTACCCTTTCATGATAGTTCTATACATTCTACTGCTCCTATTCAACTAGTTCATATTGACATTTGCGGACCCTATAACACTAAGACCTATAATGGATTCAAGTATTTCCTTACTCTAGTTGATGTTTATACTAGAGTGACCTAGACACATCTTCTCTCTGGTAAGAGTAATGCCTTCTCTGTCCTTAAAGCTTACATCCATGATCAAGGTTCATTTATAATTCTCTGTTCATACCTTTAGTGATTCTCATATGCATGAGCCCCAGTTCTACCAGCAGGCAGCATGAAACCCTGCTTGGCAGGAGGCTATGCTACAAGAATTTAGGGCTCTTGAAGCAAACCAGACATGGAACATTATTTATCTACCACCTAACAAGAAAACTATTCCTTATAAGTGAGTCTATAAGATCAATCAAAGGGCTGATGGATCTGTTGAAAGGTATAAAGCAAGGCTGGTTATTTGGGGGATGCTCAAAAGGAGGGTATTGACTTCACTGAGACTTTTTCCCCCTGTGGTCAAGTTGACTACTATTAAATGTTTGTTGACCTTGGCTGTCAAGAGAGGTTGGACTATTTTTCAGCTTGATGTGAACAATGCCTTTTTCTATGGTGACCTAAGTGAGGAGGTCTACATGAAGATTCCCCCTAGCCTTCTTCCTCCACCTCTTCACCACTGGTTTGCAGGCTCAAGAAGTCCCTCTATGGCCTCAGGCATGCTTCTAGAAAGTGGTTTTCAAAACTGTCTGAAGCCTTGCTCTCTAGGGGCTATATTTCCAGCCTCAATGATTATTCTCTCTTCACAAAGTCATCTTCTAGTTCTTTGGTGGTCCTAGCTATATATGCAGATGAAATCCTCTTAGATGGGGATGATGTCTCTGAGTTGAATTCCTTGAAATCCTATTTGGATTCCCAGTTCAAGATCAAAGATCTGGGAACAGTTCACTATCTTGTAGGTTTGGAAGTTTCCCAACACCCTCAAGGTTATCTTATGACTCAACACAGGGATACCTCTGATCTCCTTGCTGAGTTTATTTTCTGACACCTTTGGACGTTTCCTCCAAGTTGGTATTGGACATGGGAGAGCCACTCACTGGTCACAGCACCTACAGAAGATTGGTAGGCAAGCTCAACTTCTTATAACATACCAGACCACATATTTCCTTCTCTCTGCAACACTTGAGTCAATTTCTTTAGAAGCCTCAAGTGCTCCACATGCAGGCTGCTTTATATGTTCTGAGGTATCTTCTGAATGATCCACCTAGGGTATTCTTCTTTCCAGCAGTTCTGATTTTTCTCTTCTTGGATATTCTGATTCTTACTGGGCAGCGTGTCCCGTCTCTCGCAAATCTATTTATTGATTCTATATCACTATTGGTAGAAACCCTGTCTCATGAAAAAGCAAGAAACAACCCACTATCTCATTGTCTTCAGCTGAAGCTGAGTATAGGGCCTTGAGGAAGACTATTGCTGAAGTTTCTTGATTGGTTCGACTTCTAGGTGATCTTGGCTTGCACATTTGCAGCCCTGTTCCTATTTACTATGACAGTCAGACTGCCTTACACATAACCAAGAACCCTGACTTCCATGAACGCACCAAATATATAGAAATTGACTGTCATTATCTGCGTGAATGTTTGAATTCTAGCCTTAGTTCCTTCAATTTCGTTCCTAGTTTTGCACAGCTAGCTAACATCAAGACAAAAGAATTTCCTGGCCAGCCTCACTATGGTATTCTTTGCAAGCTTGGTGTGTTCTCAGCCTCCAGCTTGAAGGGGAGGGAGGTGTGTTAACACTGTTATTGCAGATCAGGCCCAACAACAGAAGTTGAAGCTGCATCGTCTATTAACACAGACCCATTAGTGCATCAATCCATCGGTCCACCAAACCCAACAATTTTGTAGCTCTAGTTGTAGCTCTATTTTTTAGTTGTACATTTCATATACACGTGTGTAATTGTATATAGACTAAGTAGTAGAATAATATAACACAAGTCGATTGAATGTTCTAGTGACCGATCAACCTTCTCTCTCTTATCTCTCTACTTTAGAAACCTTAGGGTTTTCTTCAATCTCTTTTGTTCATCAATGGAATGCAGTGATGTTAACACACTCAAGGCTTCAGTGTTCGTAGGAAGGCCATTGGTTATTATCTCTCCAATTAAATACAATCTTTCAAATGCTAACTCGTTTCCAATCATTCGGTGTTTGGTGTTCGTATGAATGATGAATCACCGAAGAAGAATGAAACTGATAGCTAGGAATGACATGGAAATATGATTCCGTTGAGGAACAAGTTCTTATTAAATCTAGGCAGAATAGCCTAGTAGACACTTGTACTTGTCTCACTTGGTCATGCCGGTCCCTGTACTCTATAGTTTATCAATTGAACACTTATACTTGTTCAAATTCTATATATTAAACTCTTATGACCGTTGACTAAACCTATATGGCTGACTTGGCTTCAGTGCGTGACTCACACACCTTTTAGGGGCGTGAGACCTATTAAAAAGCCCTAACAATAATATTTCCTCTTATTTATTGGTCTTTTTCTCGATTCTCCATTCATTCTCCATTGTTGAACCTACCTGGAGCTCTCTTTCGGCATTAGCAAAATCACCTCTTTTTTCCCTTAACTTTTTCCATCTTTTTCGTCCTTGTTTGGAATCTCCCCTGATAAAATTACACCTTTAAGGGACTCCATAAGAAACAAACAAAAACCCCTAATTTTTTATCTGAAAAAGCATTCAAAATTACTCTATCTTCCCCAAAATTACCATAATATAATGATATAACTTGGTGACCACAACCCAGAATGGAATCCAACATACTTCACAGAAAAATTGAAAAATCAGGAGACTAATTTGGATTCCTACCATTACCAAGTCCTAACCTAATAAACATTGATAATATTAGGATTTGCACACACTATAATATTCTACGAGAACACAGACAAAGACAAAAAAAAAAAGGAAATACAAGCTTGTCATTTACTGACTCTGCCAAAACTTGGTCCAATTTCAGTCTGCCAGTCATTAGCTCCTGATAGCGTAGTGGTTTCGGGGCAAAGGTACTAATGGGCCATGGCTGCTACCAGTCATGTATCTCACCCTCTTCATCTTATAAACAATTATATTCAAAATCCTACAAAGCTTAGTAAAAACGCATGAAGATGAAGGAGAGATGGAGCGTAGAAGGAGAAACGAAGATGAAGAGAGATGGAGCGTAGAAGGGGAAATAGACAATGAAAGAGAAACAATCTGTGTATGAGGGAAATAGGGTTTGGGGGGTTTTTTATTTAATTTTTAACATATTATTTCTTATGTGACACTAAATAATGATGTGGAGTCCAACGTGGAGACGATTGTGTTGCACGCACCATTGACCTCTTCAGAAAAGGGTTTAATATATAGAATTCGAACAAGTATAAGTGTTCAATTGACAAACTATTGAGTACAGGGACCGGCATGACCAACCGGGATAAGTACAAGTGTCTACTAGGCTATTCTGCCTTAAATCTATAAAGAGAGAGGAGAGAGGTAGGAAAGAGAATAGGACAATGGTGGAATATCTTTTCTAATTTATATAATACAAATAAATAGGAGCGATCAGATTTTACTTAGATGATGTGGTGCGATCTTGGGTTGCCATTAAATAATACTTGACCAAATTGTACTGGACTGGATCTCAACCCCAAAGATACATAATAGTCACTCACATAAAATAAATTCAATTGATGTATATAAATCATATAATTGCACGACTTAGATATCCTTTGTTTGATTCAAACTTCAAAAAGTTGAATATATACAAGTGCAACTAAAATTTATCAGTCTTAGTTACTATGAATATAACTTTTAACTACAAAAATGCAAACCAGTTCCTTGAAACAGTTCGTAGAAGGAAAACGCAAACACATTTTCAATTAACACGCAAGTACTAAACAAGATTAATAACTGTTGAAGCGTGCTTCATAAAATTTGCATAAACAAGATTATACAGTTTCATGAATACTCTTAGGAAACTTATCTAGCAAACTGATAATATTATTCAGCAGAGTGAAGATACTTACTTATCACATTAATTTGGTAACGGATGTCTTTGTTAACAGATGAATCATTGGTGCACATGAATAAAGCTTGACTTCGAAGAATAAAAGTTTAATGAACACCACTATATATACTGCTTAGCTTAATGGTAGGAGATGAAAAAGCTTAGGTGGTGATTAAAATTCCTTTCCAATTGATAAGTTAGCCATAATTTACCATTTAATAGGATCCTTAAATAGCTAATTAACCACTTAATGGAAGGTAATTTAACTTTTAGATAGAGGATAAATTGGCCGTTTAACTTCTAAAGGATATTTTAGTAAATTAATCTCACACTAAAGAACTTCACGCTTATAATATAAAAACTAATTCCTCGGCATGTGTGTTGCACGTGTATGCCGAGTTATATATTACAATTTTTGTAAAATATAATATTATTAAAATAATTATCTAAATATTTTTTAACCGTTATAATAAAGTGCTGTTATAAAAATATGTGTTATAGCATAACACGAAAATTTAGTTCCAAATGAACCTTCATAAGGAAGTCTTGTTATCGAGTATGGTTGTTATAGAGAAGTTTGATTGTACATGAGAGAATAAAGTATAAATCTTTTGGGATGAACAATCTGGATCATCCCATACAGACTTATTTATCAAGGTCAAGATGATTAGATATTTGAACCTACAAAAATGAATAATCAAGATTTAATTCGGGACAAGTGATTTTTTTACTTGTTTATTTATTAGGTAGAAATCATATTGTACCTAATTATATATTTGTATATAAAAATATACTTAATATGCATAAATAATTTATTCAAAATCCAGTAAGTTACCTTTTGTAGAATTCAGAACTCATAAACTCAAAATATAAGTTAATTTTTTCTTATTTGTCAAAGTTAACCATTTAATCTTTTCAACCTCTTTGGATGTCAAAGAAATACTTTACATTTTGTGCTTAAACACATCAATACAGGAGAAGAACTTTAGATTTCTTCCTAATTCGGTCCCAAAAACTTAGTTCACTTTTTAGCTTATTGGTATCATAAAATATTGTTTAGATCTGACAGTCATATTAAAATTTAAAAACATAATCCAACCACTCTATATAAAAAATAGTTGGAAAGAAGGAATAACAAAAAGATATGGCATAAACAAAACCCTCGTAAAAAGTAACATGAAAGAAAATGATGCACCTTATTTGACATTTGTAGATGAGTTCTGTATGCAGGAGAAAAGATGATGACCAGTGTCAAAGAGAAGATGAAATAGTTCTAATCACGAAATAAAAGGCTGTCGAGTAATACAATTTTATTTAGGAGTTGAAAGGATGCAACGTACACATTTATCATTTGCTGTATCTATCTTTCATGCTATCTTCTCAACCGTCTGATTCAATGTAGATTATAGAATATATTATTATTTATTGGAAGATAAATTTATTTTTTGATACAAAAGTAATATATAAAAGTAGCATTCAAAGAAAGGATAAAATGGTCTTTCAGCTTTTTTTTAGATATTTTAGTAATTCACTTTTGACTTTGGGGCTTCATACTTATAATATAGTTCTCTAATCCGTTTTAATTTATGTGAACCTGTTTGACTGGGCACGGAGTCTAAGAAAAAATGATATCTTTTGGAATTTGTAGTCCTAAACATGTCAGAAAGGAGTTCTGAGTATTTGTGTAATTATAAAAGCTTTTCATTAAGGGTAAAATTGGATGTTTAAGCTAAATCGTTTCTAAATTTAAGAAGGGGTCTTTCTTTTTGGAACGGACTAAAAAGGAAATAGGTTCACATGAACTGGAACGAAGGGAGTATGATATATGATCTGTCACTGATTTAATAAATCATTTAACGGCGGTAGTATTATTTGACTATTATGCTATTATTGGAACAGAATAGCTACCAGGAATATACGAAGCTGAAAGCAAGAGTGGAAGTGCTACAACAGTCTCAAAGGTGAGCACATATATACTTAGAAAATTTTTTATAATTGAAATTAAAGAGTGCTTCAATATCTTTCACTTTGACTTTTCATTTACAATCATATATATGATCTTTTGATCTTCTTTCTTCTATTCTTCGTCCTTAGTTCTAAATAAGATCGAATTTAATTTTTCATAATCTTTAGGCATATCCTTGGAGAAGACTTAGGACAATTAAACATAAAAGAGCTGGAACAGCTTGAGCGCCAACTGGATTCATCTTTGAGGCAAATAAGGTCAAGAAGGGTATGTTTTATGCACCTTTACTGGTTATTTAATTTGTCAGTTTCTGTACAAGCTAACTTTGCAGCTTTCAGTAGCATGGCTACTTTAGATGACCATGTGAATATTTTAGAAGCTTCAGATAGGGGCGGAGATAGGATTTTCGCTAGGGGGTTCAAAAAAATTTAGAAAAGATTATAACTAGTGGGGATTGAACCAATGACCTTACAAAAGTTTTGAACCCCCTTGGCCACTAAGCTACGACTTTTGGACTATGTCAAAGGGATTCAAAACATAATATATAGAGATAAAGAACAGATTTTACCTTATATATACAATGTAATTTTTCGTTGAAGGGGGTTCGGGTGAACCCCTTCCAACCCCGTAAATCCGCCCATGGCTTCAGATCATGTGCCTTCTTCCTAAATATGAATTCCTTCTTTACACTTTTCTTTTGGTGGGGTGCGCCATGCCCGTGCATTAATAGTGCAACACTCAAGAACCCCGATAGCAAGCTAATGCGATGGGCTCCCCCTTAAAAGTTGAGTATATATCATCTCGACGGTGTAATAATCCCCGCATCACCGATGGTTGAACTTGAAAGGCGGTTCGCCGTGAGACTTGCCCCACGTATATCTCACATCGGAATGGGTGGAGAAACTTAGCGGCCATATAACGCCAAGTACAGGATTCAACTGTTGAGACATCTATTGGATTACAACCCATAGGGGAAAATCGCGAGTCTCAAAAGCCTTGAAGACATTGAGTCCTTTGCCATATCAGGGCAAAGCAAACAATACTTTAGCAATTGGGTCTGGACCCTAATAAGTGCGGTATCAGAGTCGGTACCTTTCGTACGGTAAGGCAAACCTTATCGAGGATACTGAGTCCTAGCCATATTAAACTCAAAATTCAACCGTTGACACATTTCGGATTAAACCCCAACAGGGTAAAATCATAGCCCAAAAGCTTTGAGGTAACTGGTCTGAGTCAAAGCGGATAAGCCCTTGTTGGTTGCGCCTGACCATGGGGCCGGCTAGGCCGGCTATGAAAATTGCTGGCACATATTAAACTGATAAGAACAAATATCACACTTAATTAATTTAAGCTCAAAAGATATGGCTTCCTTCTATACTGAAATAGGAATCTTACCAAAATGTACCCAAAAAAAGACACTATTTACCAACAACTAGCCATTTTAGTTATACTACCAAAAAAAAAAAAATTACCAATGATATACAATATTAAAAAAATATAGGAAATAAAAGAAATTTTTTTCAATAGATATTATTGCGATTCATTAAATACACATAGATGAGGCAATATATAAAATTTGAGGAAGTTCGAAGGTGAATCAGATTAGTTTGGAGTCAAGATTCATTACTAATGATATACAATATTAAAGAAAATACACAAAAAGAATTTTTTTCAATGGGTATGGTTGGAATTCGTTGAAAACATATAAATGAGGCAATATACAAAATTTTGAGCAAGATTGGAGGTAATTGGGAAAATGCATAAGTACCCCCTGACATATATCCGGATTTCCAACTACACACTTTTTCTTTGCGGGAATCCTATTACCCTCCTAAACTTATTTTAAATGGAATTATTTGCACCTTTAACGCTGACGTGGCAGAGTGTGTGTATTTAAAAAATGATTTTCAGATTATTTTTTATTCTTTTTTATCATTTTTTCTTACTTTTTTTTCCTTTTCCTTTTCCTTTTCCTTTTTCTTTGTCTTTTTTCTTTTACTTTTTTTTTTCGTTTCTTCTCTAATTCCGGCGGATATTCATTCATCGGCGACTTTGTCTAACCGTTTTTCTTCCATTTTTTCTTTTCACACACAAATTAAACTCTCAAAAAGATCTATTCATAAGCAAAGCAAAATACACTCAGATTTGGGGGGGAAATTCATCATCGAAAAACCTTCCCACGCCGGAAAAAAATGATGTATTGAAATTTTAACTGGAAAAAGTTTTCTCAGCTTATATTCGTTTTTATTTCTTTTGCTCTTCCTCCCACACATAAATTACACTTTCAAGAAAAATTTATATATATTTATTAAACAAAACACACTTAGATCGGGACAAAAATCTGTCACCGGAAAAAAAAAATTTGCCGAAAAAATGGTGTTTGTAAAATTCCGACGACCACCATTTTATGCCGCCGGTGACCAAAACAAAAAGAAAGAGAATGAAATAACCAAAAAAAAATGAGAATAATAAGAAATAAGAAAAAAGGATAAGAAAAAGAAGAAAGAACAAAAAAAGTACTAAAAATACATGTGGGGGCGCGTGTAGCTCACCACTTGCCAAGAGTTTGGTTGTCAGCGTTAAGGGTGCAAATAATTACATTTAAAATAAGTTTAGGGGGTAATAGGATTCCCGCAAAGAAAAAGTGTGTAGTTGGGAATCCGGGTATAGGTCGGGGGGGGGGGGGGGGAATACATATACATTTTCCCGAGGTGATTAGAACTAGTTTGGTATCAAAATCCGTAGTTAAAACCAAGTTTAAAAAATTCTTGTGCGATACATGTATCAAACATATATATCTCACACATAAGTGTACATGAATATACATTTGATATATATGTGATACATAAATGATACAATGTGTTACACATTATCTTTTTCGATTTTCATCTTCTACTTCGAATTTTCAGTTCAAACCACCTCAAAACTCCATCAAATCATTCCAAAATTGAGATTCGAACGGCTTAAGATGCACCTAATCAATTCCAATAACACCCACTCAAAAGAAAAAAAAAATTAATTTCTTGGCTACAAATAACTAATTGACTAATGTTGGTAGCATTTGGCTAATATTGGTAATGAATTGACTAATTTTTATACTAATTTGCTTATGGGCTGACATAACTGATAATTTCCCTAAAATGAGCTTATACCCTAATAAAAGATGCTAAGTAGTTTGCAAGATTTCAGAGTGTTTTTTTAACAAGTTCTTGAACATGTTCCAGACGCAAAACATGCTTGATCAACTTTCTGATCTTCAACAAAAGGTACGTATTTTATATTCCCCAAAGTAAGCAAGAGAACATTGCTCAACGGTTCATGTGACATTGTATGCCTTCTTCTGCTGTTTCAACAGGAACAATCTCTTCTTGAAATCAATAGATCCTTGAAGATAAAGGTACAACCTCTCTTAAATAAGGTTTCAACTAATTTTTCAACTAGAAAAATATGGACAAATCCAGAAAAGCTATAATAGTAAACCTTCATCTACGTAATTTCATGTGATTTATTGGGATAAAAATGTCAGAATTATTGCTTTTTCAAAGTAGTACTTTCATATGTTTTTTCCCTCTACAACTCCGTTATTTTATGGGATAATATTACATTTAGGGTGTGTTTGGTATAATGGAAAATGTTTTCCGTGAAAAATATTTTTCAAGAAAATGTTTTCTTAGAAAATAAGTAATAATCTTATTCATTTTCTGGTGTTTGGTACGCAAATTAAGGAAAATGACTTCTCAAGAGTATTCATAAATAATTTAGATATAATAAACATGAAGCCATAAACTTTTAAACCAACAACCTTCCGAACTCACTTTTTTCATAAACTTTCGAACCGCTAAACTTTAGAAACTGCGGAATTTCTAACCCGTAAACTTTATAATTTCTAAATCCGTAAACTTCCAAACCCATAAACCCCCGAACTCATAACTTTGGAACTTGTAAAATTTTGAATCTTTAAATCGATAAATAAAAAAACTAAAACTGAAAAATATATTTAAAAAATATTTTTTTCGGGGGGGGCGGGGGTGGGTGGTGCAGAAAAACGAAAAAATAAAAATTTGAATTTGCAATAAAAAAAATAAGGTAAAAAAAATAATATTTTTTTTTAGTTCGGGTGGGGTGGGGTGGAGGGGAGGGGTAGGTAGGGTAGGTGGTAGCGGAAAACTGAAATTTAGAAAAAGAAAAAAAAAATGTTTTTTGGGAGGGGGGGGGGGGATGGGTGGGTTGGTGAGGGTAGGGAAGGTTGAGAAGGAGTTTTTTAAAATGTTTTCCCTTCCCTTGATAAGGAAAATATTTTCCTCCAATTGGAGAAAAATGAGTTCATAAGAAAAATATTTCCAAAATATTTAAGCCAACCAAACATGAAAAAATTAAAAAACATTTTCTTCTTACCAAACACACCCTTAATCCTTGTGCTATTGTATCTGACTCATTTGTTCTAGATTTCGTTTGAAATGAGTTGTTTAATCTTTCTAGCAATAATGCAGCTAATAAATACAAGTAAAAGTGTAAAACTACATATCTAAGTGTAAAACATAGGACTAATATGAATTGACAGTTGACTTACCAAAAGTACAATTACCCTCGATTTTACAAGAAAACTTCAATTTACACCTAAAGTTTTCCTTTCTTTTTTCTAAGAACTTTTTATTTGGGGCGTCCTGTACTAATGATGTATAGGGGAGTGTATCCCTTAGTAACTTTTGAGGTAAGGTTATATGTTCCCCTCGTTGTAATCTTCTCTTTCAAATAATTTACAAGGTAAGGGTCCGTTGTAATCTTCTCTTTCAAATAATTTACAAGGTAGGGGTTCAGGTCAAACCCCCATCACCACGGGAGGTGAAAGCCTGGGTGGATGGATTATATTATACTAAAAAAAAAAGAAGTTAACAGTTGTTTCTCTATGAAATGCTTCTGGCAGTTGGATGAAAACTATGTAGCCAACCAAACTCATTGGGATACTGGAGAACAAAATATACAATTTAGACATCAACCTGCTCAGCCTCAGGAGTTTTTTCAGCCTCTGCAGTGCAATAATACAATGCCAAACAGGTACGGTAATGTTGCCCTTGTTGCAATACCACACTTTTTTTTTTGCAACATTTTAAGTTGTTGCGCAATTCTAACATAAGTGGAATCAAAATGAGTGTGATCGTATATATCTACATTCAGATTAATTTCATTGTGTGTGTGTATCTATATATTTATTTATGAATTTATAAGTCGAGCTAAAAGTGACGGATTCAGGTACAATCAAGCGCCATGGGATAACATAGAACAATCAACACAGAATGCTACTGGAGTTTTACCTGGATGGATGCTTTGATGGTTGGAGCTAAAGGGGAATCAAATTCACTTACCCTACCTTTTACAAGAAATTAAGTTAATGCAGTTTGAGAATGGAAAAGAAAAATTAATAAATGTAACTTTTCCCATACATACAATTCAAGTATCAGACTTTCAAAAGACTACTGCTGGCATGATTAGTAAACTAGTTAATGAGTACGCAAAGCATAACCATATATGTCATGTAATAAGTCAAATTACATCTTTAATTTTAATTTAGACTCGTTGTTCTTGTTTCAGTTAAGTTATTCTTGCCTTGCATGGAATTAATGCAAGTAGGCTTACTAGGCCATGGCGGTTTGAGCCATCCCGTGGAAAGACATCTATTTTCTCGAACATGTCATCATAAATATACATACGTAGGAAAATGCCTTTTTACTTGTCAAGATCAACTTGAACTACTTATAACATACATATTTGTTTTTGTGGCAAATAGTGAAATATCATTAGCAAATCAATGTTTGTCTACAATTTTGTTTTTTCAACTTAAAATAAAAAATTTATGCTTGCATTAGGTTGGGCTATCTATATCACACTTTTAAGGATGTGATCCTTCCCCAGGCATTGCGAGAAGAAGGGATGCGTTGTACACTGAATTGTCTTTTCTTTTTTTAAATAAAAAATTTGAAGCTGAAAAACTGATTCGAGAATTTAATCAGAGAAGTACCCTACTCTTTGCTGAGTTCTGAAAGAAGGTACTCCCTTTTGGTCATTCAGATTCGGGGTGGCTTTATGTCACGATCCAAAATTTCAACCATGGGGCCGTGATGACGCCTAACATCCACTTGCTCGGCAAGCCAACATTAGCTAAAGAATAACCAATTTTAACAATTTAAAAATAGTATAATGATAATTAATGATTGATAAATTCTCAAGTACATGAAATAATTATATAAGTAACGCAGTCTATACAATCCCAGAAATCCGGAGTCCAAGTACATGAGCGTCTTGAATACTACAAACATGATCTGAAATGAAATACAACTGTCTGAAACTAGGTAAATAGTAGAACAAGATAGATGGAGACTTCAAGGACTGCGAATGCTATGCAACTCTACCTCAAGTCTCCTGAATGAGTCGGATCCGAGCAATTTCCTCTATGCGCCGCTAGGACCAACATCGGAAACTGCACAAGAAGTGCAGAAGTGTAGTTTGAGTACACCCAACCCCATGTACTCTATAAGTGTCGAGTCTAACCTCGATGAAGTAGTGACGAGGCTATGACAAGACACTCACTATAAACCTGTACGAATAAGAATAAAAGACAACATAATATATATAGAGAAAGTAAGTAATAACTCATAAAAAACGAGACCCGAAGGTCAACTAACAAAGGGTCCCAGAATAACACCAACTCATAATCTCATATCACAGTACGAAAATGGAACATCACAACTACAAATAGTTAAACACGCCATACTCTGTTGCGGCGCGCAACCCGATCCCAATATTATCACAATATCTGTTGTGGTGTGCAACTTGATCCCAATATCATATCAATATCTGTTGGGGCGTGCAACCCGTTCCCGTTATCAATTTATTTCCAATATTGTTGTTGCGCGCAACCCGTTCCCAATATTATCAACTCATTAACACGAACAATTCTAACACAACCAAATTTTTTAATTTCAACACAAAGGGTACTAATACTATAGAACATCAAGGAACTACTAGTACAAACTGAGAATAATCAATACCTCATATTCACAAGCCTCGACTATTCATTAATACAAGAATAGCTAAAGGACTCAAGCAACCAGATATAACATAATAAAGTGCAACAAGTAATATAAAGATAATAAAGGCAAGTAAAGACACAAGACAATAAAGATATACAATTAATACATGTAAGAATATATAGCAGGTGAGTAGATATTGAGCAAGAAATAAATAAATCGAAACAGGTAACAACTAAATGACATATAACAAGTACGACATGGATAACAAGTAAGGACATGTAGCAATCAAAGCATGTAACGAAATATAATATAAAATAAAAATAGCCCAACCCGCATGATTTAACCTACGACAACACATATACACCTCTCACATCGCATATACGTCGTCCCCACACATAGTTCACATAGCAAATAGACCATAAACGTCCTAATTCCCTCAAAACAAAGTTAAACATGACACTTTCCACATTCCGCAACCAAATCAATAATAAATAATGACTTTGACTTTTGAACAAGCCTCTAAACCAACCGAATCTAGCCAATTATCAATCACACAATCCAATATAAGCTACAGAAACTACCCACGAATGAAAAAAGTTCAATCTTTAACTAAATTAAAAAAGAAAAAAAGTCAACCCCGAGCTCGTTTGGTCAAAACTAGAGATTCGCACCAAATTTAGATTACCCATTCACCCCGATCGGTTATGTGATTTGGTTTGAAATCTGACCTCAATTCGAGGTCTAAATCTCAATTTTACAAAATTCCTAATTTCTACCTTAAAATTCATAGATTTGATATTAAGAATTTGTGAAAAGTAGTTGAAATTGATTGAAAGCTAGTTAAGGTGCTTACCAATAATTTTGGGAAGAAAATCCTCTTCAAAAATCGCCTCTAGAGTAGTTAAGTTTAAAAAATATTATAAAATGAGCTAAGTCCTGACTTTCTCATATTTTACCCAGCTGCAGGTATCACATTTGTGAACTCTTGTTCGCAATTACGACCATAACAAATGCGAAATACTGGTCGCAAATGCGAACAGTGCTCCCAGCCTGCATAAGTCGCAAATGGGACAATAACATCGTATTTGCGAGGGCCCCTTCCATCGCAAATGCGGTCAAAGGTTTGCTTTTGCGAAACTGCGGCCTAATTCTAGTGCCCAGTCGCAAAAGCGACCAAACCATTGCAAACGCGATCTAGAGATGTCCACAATTGTGAATATTTCTTTGCAAATGTGAAGGTTGCCCTGTCCATCCATTATCTCAATTGTGATCTCGACTTCGCAAAAACAGAGTTCGCATTTGGGAACAGGTCCTCGCAAATACGAGAGCTGCAGTTCAACTCCAGTTACTGAGCCATACCAGCTATTCCGAATCAACCCGCAACTCCTCCGAAACTCACCTGAGGCCCTTGGGCTGCAAACAAACATGCATACAAGTGTAATAAATCATACAAACTTGCTCACTACCTCAAATGATCAAAATATTATCAAATAACAAGAATCGATCTTCGAAACTCATGATTTCAACTTGGAAACTCATTTTTCACAATTTTTCACATAATGCGCCGAAATGCGCTCGGGTGACCCCTCCCCCAACCAAACATGTGTATATGTTAAAAAATATTATATGAACCTACCGAAATTGTCAAAACACCGATCCAAAGTCATTTACCAAAAATATTGACCGTGATCAACCCAAACCTTATTTTAAGTCAAAAATCACTTTTTCTTAAAAAATTTATGGAAAAGGTTTCAAGAAAACGACAAGGACCGGCACATGAATACCAATAAAATTCAAACTCTGGAAGGTCTCGAAACACAGAAATTAAGCTAGTACTCAAATCGATCACATTTTTCACCGCTAAAGAAGCATTCGTCCTTGAATGGACATAGAAAAGTACCTGAACTAGAAAAAGGGTGTGGGTATTTATTTCGCATATCGGACTTGGACTCCCACATAGCCTCATCAATCGGCCGACCTCTCCATTGCACTTTCACAGTAGGAAAACTCTTAAATCTCAACTTATGAACCTGCCGGTCTAAAATAGCTACCGACTCTTCCTCGAAGGCCAAATTTTCATCAAGATGCACCATGATAAAGTTCAAAATATGTGATCTATCCTCATGGTACTTCCAAAGCTTGGAAACCTGAAATATTGGATGTACCCCTACTAGGCTATGAGGTAATGCAAGTCTGTTAGAAACCAACCCAACTCTCTCTGAATCTCGAGCGGGCCAATAAACCTTAAGCTCAACTTGTCTTTTCTCCAAACTGCATCACGCTCTTCATAGGCGACACTCAGGGAAGAACCTTCTCACCCACCATGTAAGCTACATCCCGAACTTTCGGCCCGCATAACTTTTGTCTGAAGTGAGACGAAGTCGCTCCTGAATCACCTTAACCTTCTCTATGACATCATGGACCAAATTAGTGCCCAACAATCTAGCCTCACCGAGCTCAAACCAACCAATCAGCTAACAATATCGCGTCCCATATAAGGCCTCGTACGGAGCCATATGGATGTTCGACTAATAGCTGTTGCTGTAGGATTACTCTGCTAGAGGTACAAAATGGTCTATTGACCCTCTGATATCCATAGAGCATGCCCGCAACATATCCTTGAACATCTAAATAGTGCGCTTGAACTGTTCGTTCATCTGAGGATGACATACGGTACTCAGACCGAGTCTCGTGCCCAACTCACGCTGCACGACTCTCCAAAAATACAATATGAACTGCGTGCCTCAGTCAGAAATGATGGAAATGTGCATGTCCCACAGGAGAATAATCTCCCGGATGTAAAATCTGAGCCAACCGCTCTGTAGAATAGAATGTCATCAGTGGAATGAAGTGTGCAAACTTAGTCAACCGGTCCATAATAACCCAGACTGCGTAATATTTCTTCAAGGTCCATGGTAAGCCTACCATAAAATCCATAGTGATGCGCTCCACTTCCACTTTGGTATCTCAAATCTCTGAGTCAATCAACCTAGTTTCTGATGATTGTACTTCACTTGTTGACAATTCAAACAACGAGAGACGTAAGAAACAATATCTTTCTTCATCTTCCGCCACCAATAGTGCTATTTCAACTCACAGTACATCTTCGTAACACCTGGGTGAATGAAATAGCGCGAACTGTGAGCCTCTTCCAGGATTACCTCTCTCAACACATCAATATTTTGAACACAATTCCGGCCTTGAAGTTGTATAACACTATCATCTCCAATCACAAACCTTCTTGGCACCACCTCGCTACATCGTATCCCTCAACACCAATAAGTGAGGATCATCAAACTGGCGACCCTTGATATGCTCTAACAACGATGTCTGAGCAACAATACAAGAATGAACCCGACTAGGCTCCGAAACATCTAACCTCACAAACCGGTTGGCAAAGCCTGAACATCCATGGCTAGTGGACTCTCCAAGGCCGGTAAATATGCCAAACTGCCCATGCTTGCAGCCTTCCTACTCAATGCATCGGCACTGCATTGGCCTTCCCCGGATTAAGGTCTTTCAGCAACTCCAACCTCTCCACTGCTGCAAATTAAGGTCCTTCA